AATAATGGAGGGAAATAAAGTTTGCACATTGAACAGCTGCTTTAAGATAAGTGGTTAAAACACATTGATTATGCCAGTCATTATTATTATTAATAAATATACTGGTTTATATTTAATTTGACAGCTACACAGTTTGACATAAACAACGCCAAACAACTGAATTGAATGATATAGCCTCTTAGCTGATAAGCTTTTAAGCTAACTTCCAGTGGCACAAAGTGCATCTGTCTGAAATCCAAAGAAGAAGTTCGTACACCTACCAGTTCTGGCCCAAAAAAAAAAACAACCTGGAGAAGTGAATAGACACAATTCTATTGCCCTTACCTTATGGATGATTTAATAGAATTCACGATGGAACAAGTATTTCACAGATCCCTTGCAATACCATGATCAACCAGCGGGAGTCCACAGGCCATTGGCTAATAAAAAGCATTTTCATCTGAAATAAAAGATGGTGCATTTCGGAGGCGTTCTTTTAAATTTATTCAGCTCCAAACCCTGTTTGTTCATGTAACTGAGCAGTGTGCATGTGCGTTATCATAAAGTAGGATTTTTGATGAAGGCTACAATAGTTTACATTATAGCCAGGCAGATGCCCTACTTTCATGTTTGTAATTATGGAAATAATTTCAGTTATGGTAATTACCACCCCCTTAACATTTGCTGAGCAGATACTAAACAGTACGTGTGTGTGATTAAATCTAAATCCAGTCTTGCCCTCAGCCACCCTGAGAAGTTGCAATATTTTGGCACTAAAATGAATTTTGGGATGGTAATGATACTAATTAATGAGCCACAGAGGATGGTGGGATTTGTATTAACTTTCCAGCCGGCTTAATGTTCTGTTCACAGGATACCTTGAAGGACGGCTGGATATTGTGATGTGAGTGAGGAGAAGATGGAGTAATGACATGGAGAGCTTATGCAACAGCAAGTCAGGGTTAAGAGCAGTTCAAGGAGAACAGGACGATTGTGACGTAACGGGAGAATGGACGTTTCATCAGTGCAGAGGTGAAAGAAGTGATGTCCTTCACCGAAATATCAACATACATGTATATGTACATACATATTGCAGTGTTTACCATGATATGCCAAGAAACATCCTTAGCTTCCTTTACACAAGGACAAACCCAACACGCTTATGTTATAAATAATTCATAGCATGTGAAATTCTACCTCCAGTAATATAAGTTGATGTCCTGAACTGTTATTGTACTGTTAATGTATGAGGGACACCTTATTATCAAACATCATGTTTTGACTTATGTCCATCATTTTTCTGGTACTGATGTTACTGATTTATTGTTTATTTCTACAAATGTGTTTAAAATGTATTAAAATTTCCAGTGCGAATTCCATCATTGCATGACTGTAAAGCAACATTTGTTTGAGACTATGCTTTGTAATATTTGCTGTGCTTGTAATGATGTGATCAGCAATGATTGACTTCATGTGTGTTTAATTCAGCTGCACCTGTAAGAGAAGCCTTTATATATGTTGAACCAGCTCATTCTGCACTGAGGGAAGTCCGCTGGGACTGAAACCTTTGTTCACTGCCCTGCAATATGTGAAGTTTGGACATTTGAAATCCAAACTGCATTTTGAATCATTTGGTTTCGTGTGCAGGTCCTCCCCTGAAAGTGAAATTAGACAAGATCTATATAGCTGATACCAGTTGTAATCCTCAAACTTGGTATTCTACAGCAACACTGAGAGGCAGTCCCACTATTAACAGACAACTCAACTATCTACATTGTCCTGTTTAATAAGTCCTAAATGAACCACTAGTTTCACCACCTCACAGTCGTGAGCCCACCGCCATGAGTCAAGCTGCAGGCAATAAGGCCACACTCCTGAGTTATGGTGTTAAAAATAGCAAGAAAAGTTAGCCGAACATTATTAAGTCGCAGTAAAGTTGACCTTTGGAATGTCATTACATGATCATTTTATCCAATTATACAGATGCCTTAAATTTTGCCACCATTAATCAATTAATTCTTGTGTTTTAAATGGAAAAAAATCAGTATTTTGACATCAGAGTGACCTTGACCTTTTACCAGCATAATTTAATAACTTCAACTTTTCAGTTTAATTCAAAGAAATTCCCTCAAGGTGTTCCTGAGGCATCGCATTCACATTGAGGTCACATTAACCACGACCACAGCTGTTGCCATTGTGGAGGATTCTGAAGGCCAGTGCTAAATTCTAACAGAGATTTTCTTTGAGTGACTGGAAAGAAAAGTGCAGTGCACCATGGGAAAACCTGAGGGGCTCAGCCTTCAAATCTCTGTATTTTCCTCTGAGCTTTACAGTACATCTCCACTGAGCTTTTCAGTGCTCAACTATTGTGAGAACAATCTGTCAACTTTCTGAGAAAAAAGAGACATTATGACATTCTCCTCCTGCGCTTTATTCTCACCTGAATTCTGAATGTTCTACTTCATACTATTGGAGCTTCTTCCATCCCCTGCAGCTTCAAAACACGGTTGCAAACATTGTAGAAAACAAGTCAAGCAAACATTATGGATGTTTTTAAATGGAACAAACTGAACCACTGTACTGTGGTAAACAAAAGAAACATAAGCCCCAACAAAATACAAGTAGAGATGTCCAACAGGTAGTTTAAAAGCAATACGTCAGTTTAAAAGCAATACGTCCGTTTCAAACAATGTAACCGTCACTGCCCACATACTTCCATTTACGTTGACAAAGTTGTTAAGCAATGCATCCACTAGAGGGCAGCGCAGAGTTGACACTTTATCACTACGACAAATACGGCAACAGTGGAAGAGGTAGTGAGGATGTGCCTCTTCAGAAAGAAGCAAAAGCTGACGTTTGTACCTTTTACCAAGTAAAATCATATAGTTTACAACCTACACTGCCCCCCTCCCCACGATTTACCGTGGAAATGTGCCAAAGATTTCAGAAGGCGACGCCAATTTCTCTATATGAAGCGTATGCTGATGATGACATCTGACCGCAGTCTGTGAACACCCCTCACCTCACCCTCCCCTCCGAACATGCAGCCTTCAGTTGTCATAAAAACTCAAGAGGTGTTTAGTTTGTCCAGTCTGGACTACTGTAAAAAAGATGGCTGCCTCCGTAGAGAGGACCCCCTCGATGTAAATATTTAGTATTTAAATATGAAGGGCCTTTTCTGAGGTAAAGAAAACTATAATTCATACAAATTAGATGAAATGAACTAGTGAAAACATCATGAGGATTATTCTACATTAAATTTCTGCCAATTGTTCCCACACTGGACCTTTAATTTTTGTGCAACAGTACAAATGGTACAGTCTATACTTCTGACTGGCAGGGTGCAGAGGCATATATATTTTCTTGCTATCAAATTAAACAGCCAGAGATAGGTCCGGTCTCACACACACAAACTGTACAGCACAAACACACACACACACATGCACATTACCTCCTGCAACACCCTTCTATCTGCATCAGAAAAAAATACACAGATCAGATCTAATCCCTCCCCCCCTCGTGTGCAGGTTTACAGTATACTGCACCGACCCTCTGGGGGTTTACATCATTTCATTACACAGAGATTAATGTACCAAGTCCTCACCTAACAGCCTCGACTCTCTGCGACATACAAACGTGCCAATTACTCACACTGCCTTGAAAGATCTCAGCAGTTTCTGGGTGGATTAGGAGGAAGTGATAAAAGGACTGCGGCTTCTGCGCTGATCAAACTTCAAAGGCCAAACTGTCAGCGCCGAGCGTTGGAGTTCATATAGTCATATGTTCCGAGCTCGGGAGGCGGAAGCGTGTACGTGTTGGGTAGACATGTGATAGCTTTTGACATGCTGTTGGATTTACAGCTTCGGCTCAGCTTTTAGGTCGACACTTTGCCTTGTGTGAAGCCACGGCTATAGACTTTACACCGAGGCTACTGCAGAATCAAATAAGGGGTCATTCAGCAGTTTATCCTGTTCTCAGGAAAGTATGCCAATTTGTGATAAAATCACCGTTGCTATTTTACAAGTGGGCAACTGAAGGCTCATATCCATTTTGGTCAGGCCAGAAGATGCATCATTGCCTGAAGTGGCCCACACATTGTTCTAAAGAGGCAACCGATCTGCTCATACGTCAAGAGAATGTATGAGCAGACCATCTGTGTGTGTACATACCTCGTCCTTAGTAGGCGCGTATTACTATCTTGATAATGTGCCTTAAAGTAACAGAGAAATACTTGTCCACTGATTCCAGACCAGGTTTTTCTTGGTCAATTGATTTCTACAAGAAAAAAACAATGCAAGTGTCTTTGCTGATTTAACAGGGAGAACCATGACAGTCTGAAAATGTCTTTTGTGTTGATTATGATATAAGATAAGACGGGGCCAAGGACTTGTGTTTTTCATGGACAGGTCTATTTGTTTTAATATGCGGTTCTTACAAATGCACAATAATATAAGTGTAAACCATCAAACATGTCACTATGACAGGGGCTACATGTACAATTATTATAAATCTCTCACATCATCGTAAACACAGAATGATATTCTGCACATCAGGGCTTTGAGGTTCAATATACTTCAGAGGAAAAGAGTAGCCTTGCACATCTACCATTAGCATGCTAACATACTCTCAATAAGATAAGATAGAACTTCATTAATCCTGAGAGAAATGGACCAGCGTCTAAATATAGAGTAAGATAAGTTATTTAAATATGATGGTATCAACCACAAAGTAAACTAAAATAGGAATAACAATCTTGGAGTTTTTGTAGAAGAAAGTCTAAATTATGGAAAGTGTGAGAATGAAATCCACAGAGAAGCCGATGTGAGAAATCGCAAAAAAGTGGAACCACACACATAAAAAACAGACGAATGTCAAGAGTGCTTTAGGTGATGAGCCACTGTTGATGTTGATGTGCTGTAAAGTATAAACAGGTGATCATCAGCAGTATTTATCTCACTCTGGAGACGTCTGTGTTGTTGTTGTGAACACATCTGAGAATCTCCCGCTGCATTGTTCATGCGTGAAGGGCAACCCAGGGCGAATATGTAAAGAAAATAATCCAACAACAAAGCTTCTTTCAAGAAACAAGTTAAGTTGACCTCATGTGGACAGTTTTCATTTGTAAATATATCTTCTGGCGAAGAAGGAGATTTCTTTTAGGATCTGGGTCACAACTGCTCATCACTTCACAAAATTAGAAAAACATGTATTTGTACTGAAGAAGCTGTGGAATATTGCATAACATGTATAAATAGTAGTTGTGTCATGGTCTGTTTGAGAAATGTGACCATACAATGAACAAACAATGACTTTCTCAACTGTGTGTGTGTGTGTGTGTGTGTGGTAACTAACAGGGCTGGGCATTAATTTGAGGAAGTTGTGGTCGGTTTTGGGTTGGTAGCTGGGAGGGGTTAGAATATATGTTAACAAGAAAAAGGATAAGAAATTACCCCACACTTGAAAAGAATTGAGATCACAGCACCACAGGTAAACTACTTTTTAACTCTTTACATCTTGGTCACAAAGGCATACAATTATATTATAATGATTATTTTCAAATTGTGGGATTTAATGGTTTCAGATTTTCAAGTTTTTAAGTACTACACTTAAGTGTGAAATCCTTTTAGAGGTGTTTTGTGTTTAATAGACTTATTAATTAGCTTGCACAATATTGTTCATCCAAACTATTTAATTCCGTGGCTTTATTTTTGAGGGGAGCAATATTCTCCTTATATTGTCTAATGCAAGATAATGTTAGCAAAACTACTATCTATTTACACTGTGAATAGATAATATATAGAGTGAAAAGACTGCTAGATGGTAGTTAAACATTCATATATATACATAGTATATAATGTGTATGTATGTATGTCAAAATTACCTTTTCATATTAAAATATGGTGTTTTGTAGAGAGCAGTAAAGTGCCAAAATGTGTGTAACATCTGGCTTTGCTGTGAAAAGGCACTGGTTGTGAAAGACACTGGTTGTGAAACTGTACTTGAGAAATGAGAGATGGGTGTGTCTTCTTCCCCTTTTCGAATTCACACACACACATGCAGATTTTTGCAACTAGCCTTATCAAGACCTTGGCTTGACTTCCATTCTTTGTGGACATTCTATCCAAAACCTGATCCATAACCATTAATCTGACCATTAACCATAAACAGGACGTTTTGCCCAATAAAACGATGGAAGACGCATTTTCCTGTCACAACAAAAATGAGGTCACACTTCCCAGAATACAGGCGCTGAAAACTTTTGGACGAAGAGGTCTATAGTCACACAAAGACCTATGTGGAAAAAATGTAACACAACCAGATGGCCTTGTAAATATATGGATATATCCCTCACTCTCTACTTGTTTTTTTTTTCAGTTCTTTTATGACCTGACTCGTACTACCTACTCTGTACATACAAGATGAATAAAGGCTCCACTGCTTCTGATGGCACAGTTAGCATAGCCTGTGCTAAGTGTGGCCAGATGAGTAAAAAAGAGTCTAGTGGTAAAATTCTGAGCCATGGAGACTGCATGGGCAAACAAAGGCTGGGACAAGCCTTAACACACAGCCAGGAGCCCAGAGAGCTGCCTATGCCACCAGTCTCCACCTCCAGTGTCATGCACACTGCTCATCAGAGGCGGTGGTCAGCTGACTTCAGTAAGTGTGGGAGCCCACGTGTCATTACTGTGAAGAAGAACAAGAAAAAGCCACAGACTCCTCCGCGTAGAGGGTCTCTTGTCAAACCTCACGCAGCATCTGATTCGTTATCCAAGCGCTACTCCTGCCCCCCCTTGGGACTTTTGAGCTCACCATCCTCTTCCTCCTCTTCTTCCACCACCTCATCCTGCTCCTCTCCTCCTCCCGTACAGACCTCCGTCATCACTGGCCCCGACCCTCTAGGTTGGAAGTTGTGTCCAAAGTCGAGCTCCACCACTACCCAGGCTCGCACCAACAGGCTGTCTCTGCAGATCTCCCTCCCTGTCGTCTTTCCAGACAACAAACCCAGGCCTGTCCCAAACTCTAAACCAGATAACTCCCTTAATCAAGACCCCTCCCTGAAAATCAAACCCCCTCTCAAAGCAACACCATCATGTCGGCACCACTCAGAGTCTTCAGCCTTCCTCAGGTCTCTGGTGACACCTCAGCTTGTGGTGACACTTGAGGAACTCTGTAGCATGCATCTCCACCCAATCGACCTCTCAGACGAGCCCGATGACGTCTTCAGTGACGGGAGTGAAGTGGAGTCGAAGGTGACCCCTCAGCGAAAAATACCGCCACCGGTTCCAGAAAAAACCTTCATGGCCAGACAAATAGCAAAGCTGATTGCTCAATCGTCGCAGCGCTGTGCATCTGTTACCACGACTACAGAAGCAGACATTTATAGAAGCGCGATGAGGCCAAAGCCTAAACAAGCACAGCAGACTGACCTGCATGCCCCGAAATCAGGTAAGTGCTCTTAAAAGCTGGTTAAAAATTGTATATGATTAAATAATTGAAATGCAAATGAATTAACAATCACAACTGTATTCATAAACTGTATAAAAGCTACCTCTCTTAGATGTCTTCCGCTTTACACACACACAATAGATGAAGATTTTGTTTATTAAGATGATGTACAACATTGTAAAGTTTGCAGAGGGTCTAACTGCAGAAGGCAGAAGAGCCTCTCACCCTGATCAGCTTCTGATTGATTCTCTCTGAGAAGCTCCTCCTCTCCGTCAGTCAATAGTAACAACATTGACTTTGTTCCAGCAGGACTGCATCTGGACACGAGTTCCACTCCACGCTTCCCTGGCAGAGAAATCTGAACCTCCAGCCTTCATCCCCAAACCTCCAACACCGTTTACCATCAAGCAAATAATTCACAGATGGTGCATGTACATTCGTGAGGATGGGACACCATGGCCTCATCTTAGGTCTTATTTTAGTGTTTTGTTCAGTATTGTGTTTTTTTTCTCTGCTGCAAATATCTGCTGACTTCTCTCTAGAGCAGGAGCACACATGAGCTACGGAGCAGGAGATTCTCAGGTGAGGTGCACGCATTCTGATTGGGTACATGTCGGAGGTAAAATTAACCTGGGTCTGGAAAGAATAAAAGCTGGCATAATGCTGAGCAAAGTACCATCTGTGCTGTGAAAGCTTACAGAATACAGGTTTGAAAAATGGTAATGTGCAAACTAATCATATCTGGTGTGCAAAGGCCTTTAATCTGAAGTCACAGAAAAAGGCCAGGAGTGGTTAAGTCTCTGTTCAACCTCTGCTCAAGTTTGAATATAAATTATTATTATCATTATTATTATTATTAGAGTGGGATGAAAAATTATTTAAGTGTTGCCGCCAAATGAACCAATCGGTAACCAAATATATGATGACTCCTGGAAAGCACAGTGTAATATGGTCCTATAATACAAGCAAGTGGAGCCAGTGTTGTTCTGCCTTCCAAGCTGTGATGAAGACCTTGACATGTGGCTGAAAGCTAGAAAAAAACACGTGATGTGTTCAATGCTAAGAAACAATCGTATTTCCTGAAAGATCAGGGTTTTTTTTGTTTTTCTTGTTGTAAGGTTTTATATGTCCTGTCAAAACTTTGTTATGTACCTGAAAACTGTAAAAGTATTTCAACAATAAAAATAGATAAACAGTATCAAGTGAAGTGGGTGTAAATCTCCATAATGACAGCTACATTCAACACAATCACTTCCTTTTCTTTGGTAATTTGTCTACACCAAGCTGAATTACAGAGCTTTTATTTCTAAAGGTTGTGAACTTGAGTCTGAAGATTGCTCCAAATTAGCCAACGTGTTATGTATGAAGAAACAACAGCACTGAAGTCAATAATTACATAGATATGTCAAACAATTGAACAGCAATAAAGCAAATTCAGTTTCATCTCAGGAAAGGCATTGACAATAAAATCTTCATTGCAGATGAATCAGGTATGATGAACGCAACGTTTTCAAACTTTCACTCTGCACCATCGACTGTACACAACGTCTGCCACACAAACAATAAAAAGTGATGGTGCTTGAACACAGGCAGAGAAACCAGTCCATTCCTAACAGGCAGGTTTAGGAACATACATGCTATCTACTGTATAATAACCCGGTAGAGAATATTATCTGATACAGTGAAATAGTTTTGTGAAAAAAGGCTTCAGGTAAACTGATGTGAGTGGGAGGTAAATGGAAGAAGAAAGAGATTTGGATGGAGTTACTGTGAATCTGGCGCTGGTCCTCTGAGACGAGCTGGGCGTCCAGCAGAGCAGAGGGAGATCTGCAGCATGGGAAGCTGGAAGCATTACTGCAGGCTGGTGAGCGGTGGGACTGCACATCGTCATACGTACACACACACACATGCAGATACCTCTATCTCACACACACACACACACACCTGTGTATCACACCATGGGCATTCAAATCTGAAGCTGCTGCATATTTCCATCATGGTTCACTTATTTCCTTCATTTGTTGAACTACACATAATGTAGGAAATAATTATCATAATTTGCTGGATGCTGATTTTTAAAGTTTTCTACTGTATGTTTTGTACACATACACACGCTCATTCATTACCTACACACAGGTTCACACAGACAAGTCAATGTGTCTGTGTCTGGTTTATGTTGTGAAGAATGATAAGAATGCAATGGTTGAGCAGGTTATAATTGTATACTGTGAATGAAATCAGAATGGTCATTTATGAACAGAAAAGTGTGAAACATGACTGAACCAAACATACGTGATTATGGTTTCAAAACGATATCCTGGCTAAACACTGGTGGATATTTGATCATCGTTCAACAAGTGCAGAATTTATGATGATGACTCCAAAGGAAATATATGTATGTATGTCTTTATCAAACCCCCTTTGGTGCCAGCTGAGTTCCAATGTTGGCTCATGCTGGATGATCGAACACTCCAGGGTTTGAAATGTGCCAGTTATGCTCGGAGTGAGAAACACTCTAAGTTTCAGTCATTAGTCACTGGGTGAGAACTTAGAGTAACAAAAGTCTCAGAAGTCTAAATGAGGTGGATGGATACACTTCACCTCTAAGGAACAAAAAGAGAAAGATGAAAAGCAGAGAAGAGGAGTTATTTTTAGCTCCTGATTAAGGTTAGTGGTAACTTCAACAGCAGAACAGCATGTAGTAAATGCAACAGAGTACAGAAAAAAAATAAAAGTGACTGTAATTGCGTGAACATGTCGCTGGCCATGTGCCGGCTGACACTAGTTCTACTTCGCATTGATTTTTGTTTTGCTCTCGTGGGAATCTTTTGAAAAACAAAGACTGTCTGCTGCGAGAAGCCTTTCAGGAATTTAATCATTCAATGATTTTTCTTCACAGCCTCTTTGACCATGCGTGCTGATCAATATTGTGAGTTTGTGTGTGTGTGTGTTCGTACGTGTAGTATGTGAGTAATTGGGAATCAGCACTCGAGCAGTGTCTTTAGCAAATGGTGAACAGGAGCAGGTGTGAAGCCATGATATGAGGTTGTAACAGATTCAGTGGTTTGAAGACTACTAAAAGATCACAAGTATATTTAATGAATGCAGTAATGTGCAGTGTACACATGCATGCTACCATGCAGTGAATGTGCAAACGTTTACTGCACACCCAAAACTGTCAGAGCATGAATGTGCAACTTAGTAAATGAGAGTATTCCCAACGAACCCTGGTGTGATTTTCTTTTTTCCCCCACAAACTTTTTATTTTTTTAATTTTTCAAGACGTAACGTTACAAATGCTTTGACCACTCCAACTTTTTTTGTGGTTTTTAGGTATATGCATTAAATCTGACATTTTAACAGAGGTGGAGAAAGCTGCTCTTTTCTCCCTCACACTGCTGTTGCCAATTTCTCATCAGAAGACGGGTAAACCCAGTTTGAAAGAGGTTTAGTCGGCAAGTTAGGGAGGCTTGGAATTTGTATTTATGACAATGAATTACACATCCCACCTGTAGGGGGAGCCAGAGTATAGCTAAGAGATAATCTATGTCCGTATAAATATAAACATAAGGCAGACAAGTAACACTTTAGTTTTCACAAATGCAAATGGCAGACATGTCAAAATAGACAATTTAACAGAACAACATATAATTTATATGAACCAACCAGGGCCCCAGGAAGAGTAGCCACTGTTGCAATTTAGTGGCTAATGGTCATCTAAATAAATAAATAAATATATAAACAACTTAAATTCACGATATAGCCAACCACAATCGTGGTTGATACTTTGAAATTACGAACAAACCATCAGATGTGTGTATATTGTTTACAGATATATTAAACTAGTTTGCATACATCACCTTAATTTGCAACATGTTATGTGAGTCCACTGGGACCTTGCCCTTGAACCTTTGACCACAAAAATCTAATCAGTTCATCCTTGATTCCATGTGAATGTTTGTACCAAATCTGAAGAAATTCTCTTTCAGCATTCACACATAAGGGATGGACGGACAAACAACATGAAAAAATATCGCCTCTGGCAACCGTTGACATGATTGTTAACATTTTAAATTCCACAAAAAGTGATGAATAGAAAACTGGCTTGTCACACTGGCCCACTATAATAATGGTAAAAATAAACAGGTCGGCGTGACAACCGGTAAAAGTACAATCCCATCATCATCATGTCCCTGACCAATTAGCTAACAAATAAAATAGGATAAAATGACAGATCATGATGAAAGGCCAGCATCACATTATGATGTGTGTATGTATATATACAGTATGTGTGGTATGTACCCTAGTGTATCACTGCTTTCAAATCTGTGTGTGTCTTATGTGTGGTGCACTACAGATACAGTGTTCATTCTCCTTTGTTGTGAGAGAACAACATCAAACTGTCACATGAAAAGACCTTGTTCCATTCAAACCTTTGTGTATCACAGATAGTGGGATCGCTGTCAGCTGCACTCAGCATCATGAAGGTTAATTCTTTTCTCTCTTTGCAAAGGTGCAAATTACACAGGATGTAACTGTTCTCATCCTCCCGCTGCTCCATCCTCACCCATTGTCTCCCGCTCCAAACATGAAGGACAGAGGCTGCATGTCGCTCATTTAGAGAATCATGGCAGACAGATTTCCACAAATTCTGCATAAATGCCGATGTCAATAAATGTGATGTCCTTTGGTAATCTCACAAACCTGCTCAGTAAAGAAAAACATTGTTAAAATGTCTAGTGTTCTGGTGTGTTTAGTGTTGTTTTTGATGCGGCTACTCTGCTTTCCTTCCCTCCTTTTCTTTCCCTTATTATAATAAGTCACTCATCTAAAACTTGATTCAACACACAAAGTCAATAATCATTACAAGCCCAACAGAAACATTACAAAACAATAGGTGTGTTTGACTTGTTGCAACGCTTACTTAACGTGATCACAAATTTTGGTAACACTTTACATTAGGGAGCACATATCAACCATTAACTAGTTGCTTATTAGCATGGATATTAGAGGCATATTGGCTCTTTATTAGTCATTATAAATTACTTATTAATGCCTTATTCTTNATTCCATTGATTAACAGTTTTCCCTTAATAACCGCCTAATTACTGCTTATTGATGGAAAGTAAGGAAGTTATTGTACATGAATTACAATCAAGTGCTTGGATATGTTCATGAATATAAAGTGTTGCACAAATTTTTGTTAGATTTTTTTTCCAGTGCTACAGAATATGGAGACTAACCAGAGGAATGAAAGAAATAAAAACATGGGCATCAGAATAAGAGAGTGTGAGATGGAAAGTGCTCGACACTCCATCTCTTTATCATCCAGATGCTCTGCAACCTTCACCCTAAGGCTCTGCTCCTAATGGATTCACACTATAGGCCCTATAGTACTGGGAGATGTCAGTGTGTGCCGATACATTCTGCAGCAGTGGCCTTGAATGTTCATGGATGTGGTCAGAGCTGCGTATGCCACTCGCTTGTATACATTTATAGGCGAAAAGATCCAACTATTACCTTGCAACCCTTTATATAACAAGGTGCAGGAAGAAAGAGGGCAGCACTGCTGAAAAGGCAGAAGTAAGAAATGGGAGAATTGGTGAAAGAAGAGGGGATGGGGTGGAGGTTATTACTGATAATGTGGAGGAATTACTTTCCTTTCTCCTCTTCAACCCTGTGTCACGTGTCTGTTTCTCTAGTGAGAATGTATCCTCAGCTAGTGAAGCCATTTGTACACACAAACACACACACACACACACACACACACACACACACATGTTTGTACTTCTGTCTTAGTGAGGACACTCACTGGCATGATGCATTCCCCTTATCCTAACCCTAACCATCCATACTAACCCTTATCCTATTCGAACCCTAAAACCAAGTCTTAACCCCCAGACAGTCCATTAAATGGTGGGTCAGAAAGTGAGTACCGGACAAAATGTCCACACTTTCCCCAGAATTTGTTCTGCTCTAATGGGGCCATCTCGTATGCATCTCACTTTAAGTGATTTGTACATCTTGTAGGCAACACCTCTCAGTATCTAAACCAAGTCATTACAAGAATAATTGTACACTTCCTGAGCTGTTAAAACTTTAAAAAGGGTATTTTGAATGTGATCCATTGAAGCCCCTCATATGACACTAGTTGAGATCTTCAGAAAGGACTGTGTCATTCACTTAGCTTTAGTTATGCTGTTTTAGAAATTTCACTTTGATAAATTGTGTATTCTTCTACAGAGCATGATTACTAATTGGCATGGATTATTTTGTCTTTTCTTATCTTTAGGTTTGTGCATTCAAAGAGTTTTCGATGTGGATTATCCTGACACTGATGAAACTGATTCTATAAATGACCAACATCCTACTCAACATTTTGATGATATTGTTTCAAAGCTTAAGAGGATAGAAAACATCAGTCCCTCCAGAAAAACGAGATTATGCGATCGCATAATTCAAACGCATGATGATGCAAAATGCGCGAAATATGTGGGGCTTGCATGATATCGTAATCCCCGCATTTTCGTTGCAAAAAAGTCACATATTTCTTAGCAGAAAGTTGAAAAATGTTGTGTTTACTTCACACAAGAGCAGCCATTTTCCTCCTGTTGCCTTGGGAACGTTATGAAATGCCACCAGCAAACACTCGAAGAGGATGGAAGCATTAACATACTGGTAAAGAGGGTATTGCGGTTATAGTTAGCTATTCATCCACAATTATAGTAAAGCTCAGTTCAATTGGTTATGTAGTACTAAAGTAAACTGTTGACTGTCAGAAGTTGATCATCAATAGCTTTCCACCTCATTCCTTTTCTATCACTTAGGCTGTTGACACAGATAGGGATTCACAGGAGGAAATGGAGTGTAAGTGCTTCTGACTGATTTTTAATTTGTTCTAAATGATCTGTCATTGGATGTTTATTTATGACTACTGCATGTGCATTTTTCAAGCCAGTCTCTATTTTGTATTCTCTACAATGCCATTCAGTGCCAACTAGAACGGTGTCAATGGAACTCTTAACAGGTTTGTCCTTATCAAGTTTTAACAATATAAATATGTCAGGTACTCACTGTCAATCAGGATTAATGTCAATCCACAGATGACAAAACAGTTAACTCACCTCTAACTTTAACCTCCATGACAATGCTAATATCTTTGTTATGCTGTGACTGTAATCAGAGCTTTGAACTGTCTCAGCAAAGATTCAAAGGTGTATTTGGACTACGTGACATTTAGCAGATGTCTTGACTCACGGAGTAAGGGCTAAGTATAATACTTGAGGATACTTAGGATGGTGTTCTAATTGGGGGAGTGAAGGTTAAAGGATGGAACCTACAAATGGAATCAACAATCGAGTTAAGCTTTTGCTTGCCATAAAAGACCCCAAGTTTTGAGTGCCAACCCAGGAAAAATAGTATTGATAATGAACAATAAGTGAACTTTATTTGGGACTGATGATCCATTTGATCAATCAATGTGTTCCTGTTCCTAAGATTTAAAGTTCTTAAACCTTTAATGTTTTGTTTTTGTGCTAACTGAGGTACAAACAGACGGCCAAAAGAAGCTGGACAGCAGAGGAATGTGCTGCTGTTCAAAAGCATTTAAGGAAATATTTTGCCCTTAACCAAGTTCCTGGAAAAAATGAATGCCAGCTCTGCATTGATGCAGAACCTGAAACACTCTCAAATTATGATTGGAAAGCAGTCAAATACTTCATAAAAAACAGGATTACAGCCATGAGGAGGGAAACTGTGAGTGAAATTCCATTAGGCGAGTTTGAGGCAAATTGTAATAACCTCACTGCTAAGAGTTACCACACACTGGTTATTTCATTTTGTAGTGTGGTTATTTAAAATTTTGTGATCCTTTCATCAAATTATAGACCCAGACCAACCCACAATGGCAGGTACAATTAAGTTTTATGTTTATTTTACAAATGCTGTTGTCTAGAGCATTTGTTTTTTCTTTCAGCTGTTCCTTTTTTTTACACATGTGGTTTTGAATAATGTTTCTTAAATAAAAGTCTTATGGTTTTGAATTTGTTGAGCAGGAGGTCATTACTTGACTACCACGTTACTGAGCTAACCAGGGATGTGTACTGGTTGGTGTAGAGGGAAAAGAAACAAGAAGCAGAATGTATAGATTGTACACTGGAAAGTAAATAACTGATGCAGATGATTGTACCTGCTGTTGGGATTTTATCCTAAAATGTTTTGCATCAATCAAATCACAAGAATCTTATCTTTCCAACACTGTATCACTTGAGTATTTTCCAAGAATAGTATTAGCGTATATTAGACTTTATCCTCCACTAACACTTAGTTCCCTGCTAAGATATAAAAACTAGAGATATGTATGTGTGTGTGAAATTGGAAAATGAAAGTAATATAATTGTGATTAGAATTTTTCAGATTTTTTACGAAGCTGTAGAACCACCGTAAAGGACCCATCAAAAACCGGATGGTCCTCCTTAAGCGGCAAAAACGAGTATGTGTGTATGAGTGCACATAAACATTCACGTCATGCATGCACATCACGCAAGCATACTGTTACCATGCATACCTATTAACACACAGGCTGCAGATTTAAATGCACCAGGCCTGCCAGACGGCAGAGGAGCCTTCCTCCTCCTAAATGTGTATAACACACTTTCATGATACATATTCTATGCTCTTATCCCCACCCTGTTCTGATCAAAGCAGTTGAGCATGGCAAGGAAAGTGGTGGGCAACAGCTGGAAAATCACAGCTGGAGGTGAGTACAGAGGAGCGTTGGGCCGCGACTACAAAGCAACGGCTCCATTTTGGGGAGAAAGTGAGCTCTAAAAGGCGCCCCGATGTTTTTCAGTTCCATTATCTCCTTTCATTTGCTGCCACTGTGCTCGTCGTCATTTACAGTCATTATCTAATGTTCTCTATCCCATCCCTGCTGCGAGCGTGTGGACCTTTTGCATTTTACTTGAAGAACTTTTGGAGCTGTGCACTTTCAGGAGACAGAAAGCTTTCCATAAAGCACCACACTAACTTTTAAAACCCATATTATATTGCTGCTTTGTTAACATGGAAGCTCAGCAAATAAAGGATTCGACATTACACAGATTGTGCCATAATCTAACACAAACATAAGCACTCGTGCAAAATCCCAAGATTCTGTTGTAACCTACACACGACCACATGGCTGTGACATACACATCAACACAATCCTTTAACAGGAAAACCCCAATTCCAGTCTAGATGTTAAAATGTAACTTAGTAATTCATTTCTGA